AGTAGGGAGGGGCAAAGTAGCTATAGGTAACCAGGCTGTTGCTGGGAAAAGGCCCTACAGGGAGGTTTTTACAGCCCTTCTATCAAGGACTTGTGTATCTGGTTGGTTCATCCCTCAAGGGAGGACTTAGGCTGGAGCTGAGGTTGTTTAGCTAGCTGGTGATGCCGCAGCCTAGGCTTCTGTCTAAGTGCCAAAGGTCCAGGTCAAATCCCAGCAGTCCTTACACTGATCCTCCATCAGTACGCAAGTTCCACTCAAACTCCTCCATTTACTGTGCTGTCTGCTGTCCCACACTGGTTGCTTGCTCAAACATGATCATATTGCCATGAATAGCAAATATTTTGATCAATTCACTCTCCATCCTTTCTTACGATGTTAGTATCTTTTTCAAATTCCACTTTGGAATCACTACATACTCACCTTTATAACAAGTACACATGTAACATGTCTTCAAGCAAATCCATGTACATGAGGGATGAAACAAAAGGCTACTTAAAGTCATTTGAAGATGAAAAGCAGATTAATTAAGAAAAGGTCAGTGTCCACACCCTCTGGATCTTCCTGAATTATTTAAATGTTAGTGACTTAATTATCAAAGATCAAATTTACTGTATAATAAAATAATCTCACCAGTCCAGGCCCATATGCATCCCTTGGTTTGAGTAGCTCTAGGAGTCTCTTTCTTTGCTTCTCTGACTCATTTCCTATGCACAGGTACTCTGTGACTCCTTAATGGAAATAGAACCTCATAGCTCCATTGCCTTGGGACCCTAAGGCCAGTGCTGCTTCTCCAAATTCCCTAGTAGTATAGACAAACCCTGTTCCAGAGTTTTACCTTCTGGGTACTCTGGCATACAAGAGTTTCCATCTTCAATAATACACAATAGTGAAAAAAAATCACACTAGTTTTATAATGGGGTTCAAAACTAAAACAAATTACTCTTTAGCTAGCAGAAGAAACACAAGATCTGAACAGTTCCACTACTGGGCATAGATAACTAACTGTTATCAACATCATGCTTTAAAGACACTAAAATACAAAGGAAAGGCTAGCAATCAAAGAGCATTCTAAGAGATTCTAAGAGCATTTTGTCTGTTTTCCTTCATCTTCTCTGTCAAGTTTTTATAACTTTCAAAGGAAACAAAACCTTTTGAGCCTGAATCACAGGCTTTCGGATAAATGAGAAGTTTCTAAAGCTCTCTTGGTTGCTCTATAAAAAGGATGGCCAACTTGTAACTCAAGGTAACATAGAGAAGCTAATTTTATAAATAAGATTGTGACAGTTTTAGTCGGAAGTGACAGAATTACTAGTCATAGAGCACAATGCAAATGTTTGTAATGTTAATTGCTCACCACTCTGATGTTTGACTTCCCTGAAAAAGTACTGTGAAAATAGCATTGTAGGGTTCCATGTTTATTATTTCTTAATTAATTCCATATTGAGTATTTTATGTGCAGTCTAAATCCAAGATAATTTTCAAATACTGTCAGCCCTGAAAACTCAGCTTGAATTCTGAGAAACAAGTAATGTTTTCTTTTCCCCCTATATCAGTAATAGTAAAAAATATGCAAAGCAAAACTTTACTTTCAATGAGACTTAGCAAACAATTATGTTGATGATGCACAAGGAAAAGAATTCAGGTCTATATCTTTTAGCTGTGTAGTTATGCAGGGCTAATAGGCAGGAACATTTTTACTAAAGCAAGCAGATCTTTTTAGTAATAAAAACCTATTTTTAGGATGGCATTTTTCAGAATAAAACTGCACTTAAGTGCTACAAGCTTATACTCTCTGGACTGTTATGGGGACAAAGCTGGTTTTTAAGCCAAGGGGGTCAGAACTGGAGTGCTAAGATGCTACTATGTCAGTGAAGAAATTTCTTTTGCAGAAAAAAATGCTTCCAAAAGTCTTAAAAGTCTTTATCACCTTTGTTTTGCCAAAGTAAAACAAAGCAACCAAATGGCAGTACAGAACAGAGCCCTAGGAGAATCACAAGCATCTTCTAGGTCTCATTTACCAAAAGTTTTGCACAAGGAAATCCTGAAAACCAGCAGTAACAGGCATTATGCATGCCTACCTATACACAAATACATTTCTAACCCAATTAATTTCTCTCAAAGTTTACTTTCAGGAGTTGATCCTCTCATCATGATTTGAACATCCATTATTTGTACCAAAATGAATAAAACATCAATTCCTTTATATTTATTAATGTTATTATTTAAGACCGATTTGTTACACTGAAGAGAAAGCAATGAACACAATTAGACGCTACAATAAAAACCTGGAATCATACAGCTATTGATATTAACAAAGAGGCTTGAAACTCCAATAGTCAAAGGCAACAATAAAACATACCGGTGGATGAAACAAAAAGCAGTTTATTGTGACATTTCTTTTCCTTTAACCCAAAGTACTATATTGAACTGTGACTGTTTTTCATGATTAGACTTTATTAAACATAACATTCAGAGTAAATCTTGAATGTATCTTTATACTGTCTGCAGCAACACAAGGTACTACACAAAAAAGATCTTGCACCTTTTTTTTTAAATAGCATACTATGCACCCAAGGAAAACTGGAAAAGACACTTTCTGCAGACTTAATCAAGATAACACTGTTACCTCTAGCAAGAGAGAGCTGACTATTTCTACATTTAGGTGCCAATCAACTTAAGTACATCTCTCAAGATACATGCACTGTTTTTGGTTACTTGTACCTTTCTGGCTCTTTGACTGTGCTTATGTAACTAAGATTCTTTGAAACTGATAGTGCTGCAGAAAAGGACCATTAGCAGTCTGGTGGTAAGTGCCTGAACATACAAACCACTGCATCACTTATGATAATATGATGAAAAATAATCTTGGGATCCCTTTGCTCATCAGAAATTGTGTCATGAGAAAGTGACTGCACTATAGTAAGAATTCTCACAGCATCTTTCTTAGATGTTTGATAGCTTCTGATGTTAAACAGCTGGTAATTTGCATACATCTCAGTGAGGGAGTAAGGGACATTAAGCTTAGTATATATCTGAAAGCAAAGATGTTGGTAAAACTCTACTAGTAGGTCCTCAGCTAGGAGAAAGTCTATGGAATGTCATTACATTGTTTCTTCCACTACCATAACAAGCTTTAGCTCAAGTCTTCACCACCCAGGTACTGTAAACTGTTTTGAGTTACTGTATCTGGTAGACATCCCAGACAGACTTTGCATCTGAAAGTGTGGATGTACTGGCACAGAATTTGAACCAAACTTTGACCTAGCATTTCCGGTATTTTTCTTAGGATACAGAGCTAGAAGGGAATCCACCTCTCAATGATATACACTAATCACTCTCACTACTGTAAACATCATTCCAGAAAAATCAAAGTATGTATAATATAGGAGGAATGAATGACTATATGCCCATGATTTGTTCCAGTTAAAGAAGCATGTATGTGACTACTTTTTGGATTTGATCCAGCAGTTTTTTTCTCAGAGCAACTTCCAAACGAACAAGCAGGTATAGTATGTTTGAAGCAGACACCAAAACTAATCCCAATAAGTTAGTGGCCATATTCTCAAAGGTGTTAGTCATTTTCATCCCCATTAACTTTAGAATGAAGGTGTTCAGCATCTCTCAGGAATCAGTCCTTATTTATTCTGCCTTATTTAAATACCCCTGCAGTTTTGCTGCATAGATTATTCATTTCTCCACTTACAAACTAAACTGTTCAGAACTGCTTCTACTGCAGACTGTCTCTGGCAGTAGGGTCCAAGTAGATATAACCAGAAATGGCTGAATTTTTTTGGTGAATTTTACATTGCAGGCCCAATCATGCAGTGTTTCATGCAAGCCAAACTAGTTCAGAACAGGAATGCAAACTTTCTCCTGACTCTGGTTACATCACACCATGATGTCTGCTGCCTTTTCTGCTGCGCTCTTTGCTACTTGAATGTGTAAGGTATCCTCATATTGTGCATTTACTGAATACCAAATTGGTGCATGTTATGCCACTTTACTACTTTTTCTGATTGACTTGTCTTAACATAACGTAAAGTCTATTTCAAAATCTGACCAAGAAACTTTCACTGGCATTGTACACTCTTACATCATATTAACTGTAATAATCCAAAATAAATTAAAACTGTGCATATAGAAATGAAGAAAATTTTAGCAGGTATTTCCATAGTGACAACATTTAATAAGGCCAAACAAGAAAACAAATCCCAATAGATTTTTCTAAGATGCTGTATTTTCTAGGGGGTGGGGAGTCATCTTCCTCCTTGCCAGCATTTTGCAAAAGGCATTTTTACATAATCACTCTGGAAGATCAGCAGCTTGTCAATTCTGAAAGCACAAAACTGCTCAATAAGAATTAATGTTTCTGCTCAATTGGTGACGCACACCATAACTTTTGACCTGCTTAATTGTTCACCTAGGAAAAAGCTTTAGGATTTACATTTATAGGCATCCATTTTTTTTTTACAACAAATATTGTATGGAACAGACTTAGCTTGGTGGACTGTGTGAGAAGGTGGCTATTTGTATGCAAAAATTTCCAGTGGTACAAGAGAAAAAATATAACTAAGCATTGCATTTTAATATGCCTATTTGAAAAGATGATGTACATAAGAAGAATCAAAATCAACTCAATATACAGAGAACTTTCCGAACTGTTACATATTTTCATCAGAATCATCAGAACTTTCTTCATTCTCATCATCACTGCTATCTGAACTGCTAGTAGTATCCTCTTCACTGTCGTCACTACTCCCTTCATCAGTTTCTTCACTTTCTGTATCAGTAGAGTTCTGGGCATTTTCTACAATAGAAATGTGCAAAATACTTGTTTAAGTAATCTTTGAAGCTTCAGCTAGCATAACACATGCTTGCAAAGGAGATATTATTCTACATACATGATATTGGGTACTATCTTCCAAATAAATGACAAAATACATATTTTGAAAATAATTTTATTTTAAAATTTAGCCTCATTGCATTTCACTTTGTACTAAAAATGATTAATGGCCTTACTGATATTTTATTCAATCTCTCTGATTTTCAATGAAGTAGTTAAACTATATACTTTCTAGTATAGGAAGAACTTTACATGGTAGATTTGTCATATTTTCCTTATGAAATTAGTAAACAATTTGGGTGTTAGCCAATATACTAAAAATGCATCTTTTTTGAAAGATGCGGGTTTTTGGAAACTTACAGATTTTCCTATAAGGAAAGGAATATCCATTTTGTCAAGTATATCAATTTTTGACTGTATAGTTAAAACATATTTTACAGTGAAAAATATGGGCGCTTCTAGACAATACGAAGGTCAATGATACTTTTCATGGAAATAAAACTAGTCTTATCTGTGTTTACAGGATTGGTCTTTACATAGCTTGGAAGGGAGGTAGCATATAGAACATTTTGTTGTAATTCAGCTACAGGGAAAACAAGTCTCCAACCTATCATGTGGGTGGGAAAGAAAAGACTTAAGCAGAGTTTTGGAACTTGAATGTCCCAATTTTAAGGCCAATTTAAAACAAAGTGCCCTGGCACACATTACATTTAAGATGTGATTAAGATGTTAATTGCACCATGTAACAGGGAACTCTAGCCCTGTTACTAAGAGGCAGGGCTGCTCCTTTAAGAAGTCTACAGGAACAACAAGCACCAGGAAGGTACAGGTTAATGGCCCAACCACCCAAGCTGGTCAGCTGACAGGAAGGAGTTTAGATAGGCCTCTGGGCACATCTAAACTCCAGGGCTGAGACTGGCAGGAGGAGGTCTCCGGCAAGTGGCTAGGGGAAGAGAGTTCCTGCATGGTAGAAGTACCCAGGAATGCTGTGGCTAATGAGGCTCTAGGAGTCTACAAGGTACCCAGAGCTGGGGGGGTTCTCAATGTGCAAGGAGCAGTTTGGGGGTTTTAAGGAGCCAGAGTGAGGCCTGTATGACTTGTATTATGTTATAGCCCAGGGGCTCATATTTATGTTATTGTTTTATCTGGTGGACCGGGTTGAGGCTATCTGGGGAGGAGGAGACCTCATTGGGGCACACTACTGTGCAAAACACCAGTGCCAGGAGGGTGCAGCGACGGGGGGTGATCAGACCCCAGCACTAGGGGAGCACAGGTCAACACTTATATACCATCTGTGAGGCATGGGCCACCATGGAGGGGAGGTTTGGAGTGGTGGATAATGATCCCTAGCATTGGGGTAGTAAATGGGCAACCTCCCACCTGAGTAACATCATAATTATTGTTCCAAGGTGTGGCAGGTGAGATAGGTGGGTGGGTAGCCCAGGGACAGAGGGTCAGGCCTACGTTAGATAGGCCCGGGGATGGACCCCTGGCACATACCATAAACAGTAACTTGGCCATGAGTTAAAGCCAATTTATGGTGTGGCAATATAGCAAATGAGCCACAAAGATATTTCATATATAATGGGTAACATCTTTGTGGCTTGTTTGTATCATGCCTTCCACTGAATGTGTGGCAAGTTGGCGCTGACTCATGACAGGTTCCAACATTCAGCTGTGTGCAGAGATACAGCATGGGGCAGCCCCAGAGCCTGGAACACACCCATCCCCTATCCAATCAGTGAGACTGGGCTGGGGGCAGCATCATCGTGAGCCTGGACTTGCAGGCACTCTTCTTTCAACTTGCTGGTGCAAGGGGAACTCAGGATCATAATTCTGGGTTCTCCCTGCACTAGCAAGTAATAATGGTGTGATTGGGATCTAATCCCTGATTCTATCATTCACACTTCCTACCATGCCACATGTGCATGGCAGGAGTGTTGAAATTGAGGATTGGATCCTAATCGTGCCATTACTACTACTATAACTTAGTCTACTTGCCAAGGTCCATTGTACTATTAAATAAATGCATGCCAGGGGCCAAAGAAAAATATAATAGCATGTATTCAGTTCTTAAACTTGGCAGCCTTATTTTGAAATACACTATATTTTAATATGAATTGCTGACTGATAAGGCAGTCAACTACTTGAGGTGGTAAATTACAAGGATAAAATTGTCAGGTTGGCTCAGATCCTGAAATATTATCAGGTTGGCTCAGGACTAAAATATATAAATGCTTTGCATTTAATATTGGCATAAATTAGATCAAAAATTGGTGTGGCTGGCCTGGAGATGATCACTCCAATATAGGGGACCCTCCAGAAAAATAAAGTCTGTGTAACAGCTCCAATATTTTTCCTCTCCCCTGAAGCCAATCCAACAGTTATAAAAGGGGAACATGCATGCTTGTATGTAGTTTCCCTATACCTAGGGACCTACCAAAATTGCAGTTCCATGGAAATTGCAAAATCTGGTATTGCACACAAAAGCAGGCAATGTCTGTGAAATCCATGGGGGAAAAAAAAAAGATTACTGAAAATAAAATGCTGGTTTCCCAGAAGCTTTAAACTAAATTTGATGGGGAATGGGGAAGCAGGAGATGGAGAGAGTCTGCAACCTACAGACTGTGAGACATACAACAGTACATCTCAGGTAAGTACTATGGGGCCCTTTGGGCATAAGAATGGTGGGGCGCCAAAGGGCTCGTTGGTGCCACTAAAGGGCTAACAGAAACCTGGGACCCGACCCATGACTGAATGGTACACACTGAGGGCTACAGGTTGTACAGAAGGGACAGAGTATGCCTTCTTTTTTGCCCTTAGGCTTCCCTGGATTTCCCTGTTTAGCCAGGGAAGTTTTCAGGTTCCTTTCCCCTCATACTGGAATAGTCTCCCTCTGTGCCCAAAGGATCACTTCCTTTAGGATCAACCACCCTTCCTGGACTCCCATCTCACTAATACTCCTATCCTGCAGTGCGTCATTGACTAGACTCCTAAGCACAGTGAAGTTAGCCTTCCTAAAGTCAAACACTTCCACCCTACTAGTTATCTTACCCACCCTACGCCGTATGGTGAATTTGATTGATTAGTGGTCACTGTTCCCAAGGTCAGCATGAATCTGTTACTTCCTTACCAAGTCATCCCCCATAGCCAACACTAAGTTCAGTAAGGCATTCCCCCTAGTGGGGCCGTATACCACCTGCATTAGGTGAAGGTCCTGCATGCAGGTTAAGAACCTACGTGAACAGCTGGATTTGACTGACTGCTCCTCCCAGCAGATGTCAGGGTAGTTTAGGTCCCCCATGACAACCACATCCCTAGACTGTATGACCTCTGAGAGCTGCCTCAAGAATTCTAAGTGTAGCTTTTCCTCTTGGTGTGGTGGTCTGTAGCAGACCTTCCACCAAGTCCCTTCTCCCCACCACCAACCTCTGTATCCTAACGCACAATGCTTCAACGTTCTCCTCCTCTCATCCCATTTTGATTAGGGTAGATGTATAATGCTTCTTTACACAGACAACAAAAAGTCTTTTTTTAGGTATGCAGGGGGTAAAAAGAAGGCACAGGGCAGCATAGGACCCCTACTGAACACTGAGCAATTAGTGACAGACAGGGGGGACAAGGCTGAGTTATTCAATGACTTGTTTGCGTCAGTGTTCTTAACAGGGGGTCAAGATAAGTCTCCTAATGGGTTCTTAGATGGGCAGAGGGACACCAGCCCATCAACTGTTGACACAGACTTGGTGCAAAGTCACTTGGACAGACTGGATGCGTTCAAGTCAGCAGGCCTGGATGAGCTGCATCTGAGAGTAATGAAGGAATTGGCTGGTGACACAGCAGAATCACTGGCACAGCTGTCTGACTGCTCATGGTGCTTGGGTCAAGTCCTGGAGGACTGGAAAAGGGTCAATGCGGTCCCTATTTTCATGAAGGGGAGAAAGGAGGATCTGAGTAATTATAGGCCAGTCAGTTTCACTTCCATCCTTGGAAAGGTCTTTGAAAAGATTATGAAGGATCATATTTTGTGGGAGTCCAGCGGGAAAAATAATGCACCAGGGCAACTAGCATGGATTCAAAGCAGGTAGATCATGCCTGAGCAATCTGGCCTTGTTTTATGACAGGTCCCAAAACGCTTAGACACAGGAGTAGAGGTGGATGTCATTTTTCTTGGATTTTAGCAAGGCCTCCAATACAGTATTTCATCCCATTCTCTTAAATAAATTAAGAGGCTGTGACACAGATATTTACATGGTCCAGTGGCTGGCAAGTTGACTGAATGGTTGCACCCACAGTATGGTAGTAGATGGGTCAGTAGTGACCTGAAAGGATGTGGGTAGTGGGGTCCCGCAAGGTTCGGTCCTTGGACCTGTACTCTTCAATATCTTCATCAGTGACTTGGATGTGGGTGTGACATGTACTCTGCCCAAGTTTGTGGAGGTTACTAAATTGTGGGTTGAAATGCACACTCCAGAGGGTAGGGAATGATTGCAGACAGACTTGGACAGGCTAGAAAAGGGGCAGTACACAATAGGATGCATTACAACAAGGACAAATGCAAAGTGCTGCACCTAGGGTGCAAAAATATCCAGCACACCTACTGGCTGGGAAGTGACCCTCTCAGCAGCACAAAAGTGGAAAGGAATCTCGGAGTCATAGTGGACTACAAGATGAACATGAGTTGTTAGTGTGACAAAATCATCAGCAAAGCTAACCGCACTTTATCATTCATCAGCAGATGCATGACAAATAGAACCAAAGACGTGATACTTCCCCTCTACTTCAACTGCAGTCTGACCAATGCTGCATACTGTGTCCAGTTTTGGGCGCCATACTTCAAGAAGGATGTTGATAGACTCAAGAGGGTCCAGAGAAGGGCCGCTCGTATGGTTAGGGGCTTACAGGACAAACCCTATGAGGAGAGACTGAGGGATTTGGACATCTTCAGTCTGTGCAAGAGAAGGCTGAGAGGTGATCTTGTGGCCACCTACAAATTCATTAGGGGAACATAGCAAGAGATTGGAGATGCTATGTTCACCAGGGCGCCTCTTGGGGTAACAAGGAACAATGGTCACAAACTGACAGCAGATTTAGGCTAGATATGAGGAAAAACTTCTTCATGGTAAGGGTGGCCAAAATTTGGAACGGGCTCCCAAGGGAGATTGTGCTGTCCCCTACCTTGGGGGTCTTTAAGAGAAGGCTGGGTAGGCACCTGGCTGTGCTCATCTGACCCCAGCACTCTTTCCTGCCTAGGAAGGGGATCAGACTCTATGATCTGTTGAGGTCCCTTCTGACCCTAGCATCTATGAATCTATATGGGCCCAGCAGTTCTCACAGTGCTGCAGCTCAGTTGTGCAGCCCACTTGGGGGAAGGGATGAGAGGGGCTGCCCACACAAAGGGCAGCCCAAGATGGCTGCTACCCCCAACCCTTGCCATTGATTGAGAGGCCTGCCTGTCACGTGGCGAGCGGTAGGGCTGCATGACAGACAGCCCTTGAATCCAATTAGTGGTGAAGGACAGGGCCATATGACAGGTAGCCCTTGCAGCCAATCAATGGCAAGCAGTGGGGCCTTCAGGGCCCCTCGGCTAGAGGCATGGGGGTGGGGCCCAACTGGATCAATCCATGAACATGGCAGCCAGCCCCGTGATCTCCCTGTAAAATTGGCTGGCCACCTCCTCAATTTAGGTAGACCTCTACCTATGCCACATCTTATTAAATTATTGCACTGGCCCCTTGGGAACACTAGCAGCTCATGTGAGTTAGTTTAAGTGGCCTGAAGGCAGCTCTAATGTTGGGGAACAGGTATAATTCCTAACTAAGTCAGAGCTGGGAGAGTAAAAACATATGTTAAAGATGCTTCTAAAATTCCTTTCCTCCAAATTATATGCTGTATTTTCCTAGGCTGTGGCAAATCATCTTGTCCTTTTTGGTTAACATCACTGGCCAAATATCCATTTTATGGGCAAGTATGATTCATACTTGTTGACAACATGACTTTCTGTTTAAGCCAACTCAACTGCCTATAGCAAGAATAGCTAAACTTATGGTGAAAGGCAGTATCAGTGCTTGAAAACTGAACATCAACAATTAGGAAATGTTTGCTTATGTGATTTTGTTGTGTAGTGCATCATACTCAAGCCATATTAAATATAAAAACAGTAAAAAACATTTTTTTGCATTTTAAAACAATTATTTTTTAAAATAAGTAAGGTCCAAGTAGGCATAACACTCCCAAATATTGTTTATCTGTGAAAAGCATGAATGCTTTTACAAAAACTGAGTGGTTACAACCCTCAAACTTACCCATCAGCAGTTTTTGTTCAAGCAGTGGAAGAAACTGCTTGGCCTCAGTATTTTCTGGTTCATAGATCAGTACTGCAATTTGACAACAGGATGTATTACTAATGTCTATATAGTGACATAACAAACAGACAATTCATTGTAAGACTGCCATTTATAGCTTATGGAAGTGTAACTATAGGTATAAAAAACTACATATCAGGGATATCTATTCTTATCTAAATAATCTAAAGGCATATTGTTAACGGCTACACTTATGCTACCATCCAATATTTTGATTTCAAAGACTTAAAGAGAAAATAAAGATTTTTTTTCATTAGTTCTATTAACATTCCAAGATAAAAATACCACAGTAAGCTAGAATTAAGGTATACAGACCATACTGATAATTTAAGAGTATACGAAGCTACAAAAAGTAATAATTAAATTGAAACAAACAAAACCAGCTTAAGAAATTCAGACAAAGTTAAATTAAGAAAAAAACACAAACATATAAAAACATAAAAATGTATACAAAATGTAAATATCTAGAACTAATAGTGACAGTATAGACTAATTTCTACATATTCAGTAGTATATTAGCATGCTAAAATACCTAAGCACTTTACTGAATGCAAACTTAAATAATGTAAATAGAAAACATGTAAACAGGAAACTGAGCAAATTTTTCACTACAAAAGAAAAAAAAAAAAGACTGATGGTATTTGATACAACTGGCTAGAGTACTCTACCCCAGTGACAGGTTAATCTTTCTAGAAGGTATGCCCAATTTAGCCCTGCACCTTCTCCAAGGCTAGGGACACACAAACCAGTTTAAGTAATCAGAAACTGGTTTAAACTTTTAACAAAACATAAGTTCAGCTCACAAAAAACAGTTTCAAAATGGCTGAAACTGGTTTAAGATAAACCTGGTTGAATGCAGTATCAGACTTAACTGTCTGATTTGGGTCAAACCAGTTTATGCAATGTCTGTCCCAGACCCCTTCCTGGTTCAAGTTAAATCAGAGTCCCTCAGCATCCCAGCAGGCTTTACAGTCCTGGGCTGTGCTGTGCTGTCTACTCCAGCGAAGGAGAGTTCAGAGGTAAGGGAGTGGGGGAAGGCAGGGCCTGCCCATCCTCAGGCAAACCCTGGCTGGGGTCTGGGGCCACAGAGGGGAGTTAAACTTCCCTTCCCCCGAGTATGGAGCTGTGCTGCTCTGCTAAAAACTTATTACTGGCTGTGACTGGACTACAAATCCCAGAGGCACCTGGAAGCAGGAAGAGAAAGTGATGAGCAACCCTGCAGAGTCCTGCTGCTGTAATTCTAGACTGCAAATCCCAGCAACTTCAGGGACAGCAGGAAGAGGAAGTGAACACACAGCCCATGCTGGCTATGTTCCAGACAGCTGTGCTCTAAAGCCCCCTGGCTTTTGGCCTGAGTCACTGCAGGTATTGGGCTGCATTTCCTGAATCAACAGCAAATGTCTGTCCAGTTATTTCTCAGTTTAATCTTTGCATATTAAACTAACTTGCAAAGACTGAATGAATTTAGCCTTGGGCTTTTTGACAGCCTGTACTTAGCCCAAGTGCCACTCGAATCATGTTTTCTGATCCCAGCCTGATCTGCTGCTCTGCTTTCTGCTTCCTGTCCTGTGCTCTCTGCCCTACTTGCTGCTTTACTTTCTGCTCCCTGCCCTATCTGCTGCTATGCTGCCTGTCCCCTTCCCAGTTTGCCACATGCTACACACAGAGGCTGTCTGTGTCACATGTGGCATGTGTGCTGCTCTACACAAGTGCTGAAAACAACAGCAGTGCTCAAGCTGTCCCTGAATTAAATTAACCTGGTTACCTTTGCAGGTGGGTGATATGGAAGCATCAAAATCAGACAAGTTACACCAATACTACAAAAGAAAGTATGGGAGTGTGCTAAATCTAATAAAGAATGTAATTGGAAAACAAATATTATAAAGTCAGCATTTTAGTTAATTGGGTTTTTTCTTCCTTTTTCTCTTTTTCTGGTGCTAGTGAAAGCATCAGCAGCAATACTTTGTTCCACCTGGGACCTAAGAACTAGCAAAAAGTACAATGCAGTACCCTAAATGAAAGGAAACAAAGGTTTGGAACTGATGTAAGAATCTAGGCCATGGACCGTAGGAGAGCTACTGAAATAGAAGACAGCACACTATAGCAGGAATACATAATTAATAGGCTGAAGTACCATCTATTCAGATTTCTAAAATTCTAACCAGGGGACAATAATTTTGTAAAAGTATTGCTGTAAGCTGTAAGAGTTAACTAAGGAGAGAGCAACTGATACTACTGTCCCACAAGCTATAGTTTGATATAGTTGTGGTAGATGGTATACATTTCTAGATATTAAGCAGTCAGACAGAAAGAAATGGCAAATAAATATTATGCCACCTGAAGAGATGGATAAAAATGTTGAACCTACATTTACATTTTCTTTGCATTGCATTGCATTGGATTAGCAAAGAGGTAAAAAAAAAAAATAGAAGCCTTCTGTGTAAATCCTGATGAAGTACATATTGAAGGAGTTAAGGTCAGCAGATAATATAAATGGATAATTTAGAGGGGAGCCCAGAAGATGAGAGTTCTACTCAAATTAACAAATGTGAAATTTGGAAGAGAATGCTGTAAAAGTGCATTGGATAAACCCTGATGTTAAAAATTAACAAGCGTAGAAGACATTTTGTAAGGAATCACTGACATTATGAATACTGTTTTCAGCTCTATAACTTAGTCTACCTACTCTAAAACAACTCTATGATCCTCTTCTGTCAGGATCATAAGGAAGTAGAGCTGGAAGGGACCTCATGAGGTCATCCAGTCCAACTCCCTATTCAGGCCATCCCAGAGTAAAACCGCCCAAGTAAAATGTCTGCCCATACTGATCTTAAAAATTTTCAGGGATGGAGATTCCACAACTTCCCTTGGTAGCCTGTTCCAATGCTTGACCACCCTCATAGTCAAAGTTAAATCTCCAACCTAAATTTTCTCTGTTTCAGCTTGAGGCCACTGCTCCTAGTCCTGTCCCCTACAGCTACAGAAAACAGTCCCATCTTAACCTACTGTACAGTTGCACTTCAGGTATTTGCAGATTTGACCTGCAAATGTTTGTTCTGGTCCATGTTTTAAGAATGCCCAACTGATCCCCTCCTTCTGCTTGATCCAGCCCTTGGATTCCACAGCTATGCCACTGTGGCCAGTCTGGCAGGAACTCAGAGAGCTTGTTGCACATGTGCTGCCCAGCTGAAGTGGGGCATGAAAGCACCCCTGTTATTCCCTGTGGAAGTGTCAATCATCATCCTCTTTATTACCATCCCTCAGGTACTTGAAGCCTGCTATTGAATACCCTTTTAGGCTTTTCTTCTCAGGCTAAATAACTCTAGGTCGTTCAGCCTTTCCTCATAAATCATGCTCTGCAGACTCCTAAACATGTTGGTAGCTCTTCACTGGGCTCTTTCTAACCTGTCCACATCTTTCTTGATGTGTGGGGCCCAAAACTGAACAGTATTCCAGGTGAGGTGTTATCAGTGCTGAATATAGTGGAAGAATCATGTATCTTGATTTACAAGCTACACTCCTGTTAATATAACTCAGTATGCTGTTGACTTTTTCCCAATAACAGCCTACTGTTGTGCTCTGCGGTAGAATTGATTTAAACTTGGGGGGTGGACCTCACATGAAAAGTGCTACCATAACTCTGTGTTTTAAGGAAGCTTTCACAAGCTTTCAGCCACTGGTGATGCATAGGGGGTGAACACAGGTGCACGTGCACCCCCTGAGTATGGCGCTGCATCGCCTATGAAAAGGCACCACCGATACTATTGGCAGTGCCTGTGAGTGGTTGCTGTAGACCCCTCACCACTGCTCACAGCAATTAAGAAAACGGAAATGAGGAGAAATAATATGAATTGGATAGAAAAAAAAGTTGTACTTACTCATTTGACAAAGTTTTTTTGCTAGACTATAGTTTCCATCCATTATTGCTTTCAGGAACTGAAAGAAAAATATGGTTTAGCATGAAGATGAATTAGGAGAAATATAGGTGGAAATCAGAATTAGTTTTAAATTTGTTGATTTGCATAGAAAAAATACACTTTGGTGAAATCTTTGAACAATTTTCCCTAAGAGCTATGAACTACAGTCCTTCTCTACTGAATTAAGCAACTCCAAGTGTGGATGGAAGACCACTTCTCTTAGTCTCGTTATAAACTGCACAAGCTCTATCCAACCTATTACACCTTGGAGCTGAGGATTCTATTTCTGTGTAACTGGGCATGTCTACATGAGATGTGTTAATGTACATTAGCCTAAGCTAATGCGCATTATAGCTGCACGTCTACATGTGCGCACCCTTAATGTGCATTAACTAGGGCAAATCACGCCTAAATGCAGGTATCAAATTTAGGCACGATTAGTTAATCCACGTTAATGCATGTGTAGATGTGACCCGGCATCAACTTTAGTGCTGGGTCTGTCCTGCCCAGGAAACATGCAGGGGCTGGGTTGCTGGTCCCCTGCCCCAGGGCCCTGTCCCCTAGATCCCTGCTGCGGCCCCCCACTCTGGGCTTGAAGACTCAAAATGCTAAATCATTTTCTCCTTGTATATAGTTTCCCACTTGTAAGCAGGTTTTTTATTGTTGGTGGGTGGAGAGGGTGGTGAAGGGGCTCTCTTTGTTGAGCGGAGGGATGTGGGTGGGTGTTGTGGGGGTAATAAAACAAAAAAAACAAAACAAAAACTTTTTTCACCCATGTGCATGTCCTGAGAGTGGTGCTGGGGATGGGTAGGGGGTGTGTGGGTGGTGGGGCAGGTGGGCTGGAGTGGGGAGAGCAGGAGGAGGGGGTTGGGCAGGGCCTCCCCCAGCTAGTTCCCTGGCTCCCACTGGCAGGTGCATGGCTGAACTGCGGCCTGGGCGGGCAGGGGAAGGTGCTGCTGGGGACAGCAGGCCTAGCACCATGGCCAGGAGGAGCACGGGACACTGATCATCACTGGCAGGGGCTGGGCTGGAGCAGTGGGGTGCTAGGCATCACTGGCAGGGGCAGGGGCATCCCTGGTATGGGGAGGCAAGGAGGGAGCTGCTATGTGCTGCCCTTGCATTGGGCACGTGGCTCCGGGCAGGAAAGAGGCTGGCCAGAAATCAGGGTTTCTCTGGCAGCTATGTGGCTGGAGCTCCCCACGAGTGGCCACAGCCGCACATAGCAGGGCTGCAGGGACTTGGGACTAACATTAGTGCCACGTCCCTGCATGTGTAGACCCCTGCCAAAAATTGCTTAATACGCATTAAATTTAGTCGTGCTTAAATGCACGTGTAAATGTGCCCATTATGTAACCCTGAGCAACGGCACATTACTCAGGTAAAACTTACGAATATGCACAACTTTGTATGTGGTTTAACTGCTTCAGTGGAACTACTCCTCTGAGTAATATCAGGCTTTACAACAGTGCAACATATCTATCCTATTAGCTGTTACAGCATAACTGAATATAATTAATAGCCTTGAAAAGATGTATGCGTGTATAAAACAAACAAACAAAAGTCCTCCTGAAAGCATGGCATTTTGAGGATATGGGGACTTAATCAATTCCTGATAACACTTGTTGGGTTAGTGCTTACTTCAGACATCAATTCAGATGAAATCTAAAACTTTCAAATGTAATATTTGATGCTAGAAAATAAGAAAAACAAACATTCTTGAAGTGTAAATCCACAAAAATCTCAATGACTTAAAGAGGCCATATTAAACTAAAAACTGGAAATCTACAAGAGACACATTTCATTGAAATTGGAAGGTGCATTATCAGTAGAGAGAGACAAAGGTTGAGAGCAATATCAGAAACTTCTTATTTTAGTAAAGGCACCATATTAAAAACTAATTAACAATATAAGCGAGCATGACTCATACTGTGATCATCATTAAAAATCAACATTAGCCAAAATGCATCATACTATACAAGATACCTTTATTTTCTCCCTCTTTTTATTTAGAAAGTAGAGTATCCTTTACTCTGTCTGGTAACTGTTGGCTGTCATTTTAACAGTGAATGCTAAAACTTCCCTCTTATTTGAAGTGAAGTAGACAGTTTGAGAGCTGTTAAACTTGGCAGATCTCTAAATTCTCAGAGCTGAGTTCATAATTGGCAGAGCCAGACCTTTATGTTTCTTTGTCAGCAAATGCAGTTAGCCTGCCATAATAAAAGTTCTTTTAAAGGTCTCCTTTCATCTGTCATTGCCATCTTTTTGTCTTTTCCATGTAAAGATATAAATTACATTGTAGGTTCTAAGGATTTGTGGCCCATGAATCTTTTATTTCTCTTATAATGGAAAAGGCAATAAAATCCCACTCCACTTTCTTTTCTTGAGTTTTGCCCATGTTTTTCTCACATCATATGATTTAGATTTAAGTCTTTTTACACCTCTTATCTTTTTATATTTAAGAACAACTAATATACCTTTTATCCATGCATAGAGGGATGGACTTAGCAGTATCAGTCTGAAGTTAGGCAAAAGGCAGGACAATGTGACACCTTCTAGTTTATAGTTGTACTTGTTCAGAAAGGTATGAGCTCTTGTAGGCTACAGTCTATTTTGTAAAATTTCCAGCGGCAACATCTGATGAAGTAACCTGCAGCCTATGAAAGCTCATGGCTGTCTGAACAAATTGGTTTGTAAGGTGCCACACTGACCTGCCTCCTGCCTAATACAGCTTTGTCAACTTCTTCATAGACAGTTTCACTTTGAGGGGGCAGGGGAGGGCGGGCACAGCTGAATGCACAATTTTGCAGAAAAATGTATTCCACAATACAAACCTTATAAATAAAACAAAAGTGTACAAGCACATGAACATCACAATTACCGAATTAAATCATGAGAACATAAGCACATGCTTAAGTTTTACTGAATAGCAGTTAAGTGCTGAATTACTCTTAAAAATAAAGAGAGACTGGATATCGAGCAAACAGCCTACTCATTCAAACACCATGACAACTACTACTTACCAAACATTTTCATATTCATATTTCAAATGTGGAAAAATGTCTTTACTGTTAGAACAGTGAGGCAGGAGAATAGACTACCTAGGGAAGTTGTAGACACTCCATCACTGGATGTGTTGAAAAAGGTTGGATAGCCCCTGGGTGAGGATGATCTAGGCACATGCCTAGGTTCTATTAGGGGTATATACCATGCTACTGGGCTTTGTTGATTGCTCCCCACTTTTCCCCTTATCTGCTACATGTGTCAGGCCTTTCTTAGAAGCTTTTGGTATTTGCTGCAGCTAAGGCTGGGGACTCTGACTGCAGTGTGCCAAATGCTCCTGTTGGGATCAAAGCCAGAGGTTCCTGGCTATGGGGTCTTGTCCCTCTGCTTAAGGTCGGACCAATCACTATATCTGAGGTCAGGAAGGAATTTTTACCCCATGATAAGATTGGGCATCTTTACACATGCTTCTGGATGTGGCTCTGGGCGCTTTAATTAGTGAGACATGCTAACTAAAAGCACCCACGTGTCATGTATATCACCATTGCTGTATGCTCCCACACTGAAAAAATGGCAGTGAGATGCTTTGAAATAAAGCTCACCGGACGTGTTTTATTTCAAACAGCACCGCTGCCATTTTGTCAACACAGAGATGTGCGGTGATGCTGATACATATGACACACGAGGCTGCTACAGCGTGTCAATTTCTGTGCATCAGCAGACTTGGTGTACGTGTGTAGAAGCCCACTGGCATGGACTGTGGGGGATTTTGTCTTCCTCTGTAGTAAGGGGTGTAGCCCCCTACCCCAGATCTCTTGATCATATATTGACAACATTTCACAGAAGATTGGTTCTGCTGCTTTACCTGTGGCAGGTTAGAGTGTTAGGTCTGTGTAGTGTCAGGATTGGCAGTAGTTTTATGTAGAGTTTAGATTATGGATTGTATGGGATGGTTTGGATACGGATGACCCTGCCTTAGGCAGCGGGTTGGACTAGCTTACCTCTGGAAGTCCGTTTCAGCCCTATTTCTCTATGACTCAAGTTTTGGAAATAAAGTGATAGGAAGGGAAAAAGTGAAATGCCTCTTAAGTCTAGCAGCTTTGTATAAATATGTTATATACATTTATAGAATACAGAGTATATTTGGAGGCACTTCACTTTTATAAAGGCCATTTAAAAATGTTTTTGAAAGAGTAAACAAGAATGGTATATGCATGAAAAAGTAGTTTTCACCACAGTAAATTACTAATAATCAGTTACTTAATGAACAGTCTTAAGTATTCTATTGCTGTATCTTGCTGCAAAATTGTGCTCTAGGATTCACTTTAAGTTTTGTTTAGGGCTAGAGAAAATAATTAAACTATGTAAACGGAATGTGAACAATCATTGTCAGAATACATAGAGCTAGAAACAATGGCTCTGGGAGGTGTGAATGGCCCCAGTGATCACACTTGGGGTGACAAGACTTTGTGATTGTGTGGCTCTGAAACTGGCGTTTTTCAAACTAGCACAGAAGTCTGCGTTTTGCTGCAATATTGATTATTTTGCTGTACCCAGGTACCTAGCATTTTGTGTTTTGTCATCCTGCCCTTCTGAGACTTGCCTACAAATGTGTCTCAGGTTGCATCTTTTTTAACAACAGAAAATTAATTGGATAATAATGCATGCTTCCTTTACTATATTAAGGTGCCACCCTGCCCTACTTCCTGCTTGACTTAGATTAACACAGCTACCTACCCCTTTTACCCATCTACAGAAGAGTGGACCTGCAGCTAGAAACCACTTTGCAACCAAAAAGCAGAGATTACCAGAAGTACAAGCTGAGTAGCTAGACTACCTAAAGAACAGAACAGCAGCCCGGGGCCTAAGTGACTGAGAACATGAACTACTGAAGCCAACTGCATGTTCCCCTCTTTGGATGTCATACCTGGGGCAGGAAAAAAAATATGCTGAGCTGGACACCCATATAATATCATAACTGCTGGAGCCCACAGACCTTGGCCAGCTGAAGAATACAGTACAGTAAATATATCGATTTATCATAAAAAATAAGTACTGAAAAAAACATTGATGAATTGCACACCAGTGAGTATTTTCAGCTATGAGCCAAAATCACAAGCATGTTTGAGTCTGCAAATTAAAGGTATTAAGATCCAATAAATCAACACAACTGCAATGCAAGTCACTGGAACTGCAGACTTGGGAAGTTCTTGACAAAAAACTGAGTTGTGCATTCCAGAATTAGTCCCAAAGGAGTACATGGATCCCTGACATCACATTATTTACATTAAGACAAAAATCTGAAATTTACCTCTCCCAGCAACTCTATTGGTGCACTTCCTTTCCCATTTTCATTTTTGCTATGTTCATTGATGCTTTCATCATCACCAGTAGTTTGTGACAGTTCATCAAAACTGTGATTATCAACACTATTTGGCTGAAGTTCAATACTATTTGCTGTCTTTTCTACAATTTGGGAATTTTTCTCCTTTTCATCTAAAATACAAAATATTCTAGTGTTACAACAGCAACAACAAAAAAAAGAGTATTTTGTATGCTCAAATAATGCATAAATACTAATTAGGTCACTGCTCAGATGTTTGCATACAGTTTAATACATTTTCTATTTTTCTGCTTACAACAAAAAGTCCATGTATACATTACTGAGCCTGTTTGCACCCTCATGTACATTTGTGCAATTTCTATTGGAATTGTACGTGCCCCTCTTAGGGAAGAGTTAAGCCTCTTGGATGTAACATATAGGTGCTGATAGACATGCAGCTCCCCACTTCACAGAAAGTGCCAAGATTTAGTGATCCCCAGCAACTCAACAGACATTCACCATTGGATCAAGGGTGGGTGAAGGTGGGAGACTGGCTCCGAAGTGGAGCTCTATCTAGGAGGAGCTATGTCTGCAGCCTCTCTTCCTTAGCCCTGAACCTCTACTCCCAGCTTCAGTGGTGTCTGCAGGATGGGAGGTGGGAGAAGGGCAGGGAGTGAACTCCAGGATGTGTTTGCCCAGGCTGAGCTGGAAGGGGAACAGGTGGAGGATTGGATCCCACCAATCCACCCGTCCTCTGCCTCCAGTGCAGGCTGGGCAAACTGCAGCCTGGAACTCCCTCTTCCACTTCTCTCCCCTCCCATTCTGCAGACAGCACTGGCAGTGGGGCTGGGCTGCATCAGCCCAGCTCTGATCAGGCAGAATTTAATGAAGGTGCTCCATTTTGGAGCACCTTCATCTGAACGCCCATTAAATGAGGGTAAATTTGTTGCATGATCAATCACTTTTAAAGCACTCTGCAGCTGTGCATTTCTGTCAGGGCATGGCTGTAGAGTGCTTTCAAGGGGTCAATCACATGAGAAATGTCAAGTCTGTCAGCACCCATTATATACTGGTCCTCATATCTGAAATTTGATTTTAAACATTATACTTGCAGTTGTTATATTAGAGCAACAGTGTTCAAAAGAATTAAGCAATAGCTGCTTTATCTGACAAACTATGCAAGAATTAGAACTATAACAGTTACTTTGAGAATCAGAACTCTGAACTTCCTGACTTTTAAGAAGTGAAATCCTCAATTATTATAGTACATGGATAGGTTCTTTCATCTAATAATATTTACAAATGCACACACTTTGAGAATGTGATACTGCCATGATTTGTACGAGTTTGATCCTATTTTCTGCTGCCATGATTTGTATGACTAATACTTAACAACACATACTGAGTGTAAATGAACATTTCTTTGGATTTGCCTAACAGAAAAGAAAATCACTTTAAAAAACAGCAATCTTGCCTATCATTTTTAAGTACCATAAAGCATTAGTAGGACAAAATGATGACAAAAAAGAGTGTGCTGGCAGGCTGATTTGATAAATGTGCTTCATCAAGGTGAAAAAGAGCAATCCTACTAAACAACTGGCCTGGATGGGGTTTTCACTACTGAAGATGAAACTGTTCTTCTTGCAGGAGTAATACAGAGCAGTCCATTACAGAACAAACTGTATGAGATGATATCTCTTTTCCCCAAAGGAGGCATCAAAATGTTCAGTTAATAAAATGATCTACTAGCTCAAAATGTGTGTGCTTCATGGTAAGAATGAAATAAGAACTGTGTTTGAATACACAGATACATAGACACACCAACATGAATGTTCAATTAGAAGAAAATGACTGTAGAAGAAGAAATTTACTATGGAAGTTGTTTAATTCAATGCTCCTATAAATACACTGAACAATACACTGACACGAACACACTGCTCAGGAGACTTTTGAGTTTAAAAATCAATTTTTGGCTACAAAGAGAATCAGCTTCCTGCTCTCAACAGAGTCTTTAGGGGGCATTTATTCACATGACTAAACCATAACACAATGTCTGTGAAGTCCTGTTTACAGTTTCTCCTTAACAATGTTGTAGTAACTGCTGGTCAGGATGGAAAAGCTACTGGAAGAATTATGCAGGAAAAGTTGAACTGTGCTTGCTCACAATATGTCAACTTCTTTAGCCAACCTGTCACTGCGCGCGCGCGCACGCACGCACGCACGCACGCACGCACGCACACACAGTGTAGTAGCAGGCTTGTTAAAGTTACAAGCTTTCAATTTAACAAGTTCCTGAAACACACAACCAAAAGCTCCATAGAGTCAATGAAGGACTTTGACCATCAATGGATTTTGAATAAGATCACAGAAAGTAATGAAGGTTCTAATACAGACAATTCCACCTACATTGTAATAACTGTCCTTTTAGCTTAGTATTTGAAAAAAAGAACAAAAAAATTGTAATACACAGTAATAGCGGCAATTATAATCATGTTTAACCTGGTGGTTAAACATACCATACCAGCCAACATACATTACTTTGTGTGTGCTTAACAGAGATTTTTATAAGGAATAATTTTCCTGCAAGAGGTTCTGCTGTACAGCGATCTAGGTAACAGCAAGTTTCTCAGAATAAATAAGCAAGAAAGAAATATAAAAGCAGGAGAAATCATAATTTAGAGTTAAAATAAAAACACCATGTAATTGATAGTTAATGCAAACCAAAGCAATATTAAAGAAGTATCAGTTGTGGCCCCAACATCAAGCTTGAGCTGAATTTTTTTTAAAACAGGTCGTAAGAAATTTAGCATGTGGCTGTCAGATAGCTTTGTTCTGAACAAAATTCAGATATATCAACCTTTTCATATAGTTTATATGCACTATAACTTTATATGTAGGTTATTTTTAAAGCTCTTTTAAGGATTCATTTCCATGAAGACCTTGGGACCGTGTGGCCATGACAGTGTGGGACCAGGCTGGGGCAGAGCCCCCATTCTGCAGCCCTGCGCTGTTGCAGGCCTGAGTTCCTGGGGTCTCCTTGGAGACTGGGTGGGAGCCACATGGGCAGGGTCTGCTGGGAAATGGAGTCCAGCTGCCAGACAGATCCACCATTTTGATCGCCAGCTGAAGGCACCTGGGCGTTAACCTTATTGGAAACAACAAGGGAAAAGAGGACAAGCTGACCAGTTTTCAGAATGGTAAGTTTTCATATGTTTCTCTGAAGGGTTTTTTATGCACCAGCCTCTGGTGACAGATGAACTCGTAGTTCTGAAAAAAACAGTGGCATAATAATCCTTAACTCTAAACATTTATTTTCATGATTTACCCAATAAGGAGGGCAATAGGGAAATAGAACCTTCCCCGCACCTGTTTTTTGTTGCAATTAAGGATTTGTAGCAGAGCCCTAAAGTGACAATGTGTCTTTGTTATTCCCAGAGAAATCTGCCTCTGAATTCTACTCTTAGTGTTTGATGACCCAAAATAACATTAGTAGAAACACTGCAAGTTCACCTGAGTGAGGCTGGTGGATCCCAACTGCAAAATTTCCCCAAGAGTTGTGTGCGTGTGCATGAGTAAGTATGCTTATAAGTACAGGAGTATATACGGGTTACAGCAGAGATAGAACACTATGGCTCAGACTCAGGACAAAATTTCTCAAACTCAATCACAAAGTTAAATTTACCCAATTTTCTAATTTCCATCGCTGACTGAAGTTCTATTAGCACAAGTCTGTAGTCTCTCTAAATTTTTGATAGTTTTCAGTTTGCATTAAATAGTTCTGTATTTACTAGCCACAACTCTATGACATCATGTGGTAGCTCATAAAAGCTAGAAGGTGCTAATGAAGAAACCTCATGTTAAAAACAGACTGAACCTTAAAGGGCAGTAGAAGTGCTATTTATGTCAACTATTCTTACTTGGTAAAGAATAGAAATGTTGGTATAAAGGAATTATAAGACTATAAATTCTAAAAAGCAGAAAGCAAGTTGTTTTTTAAGGTTAATATTTTCTTTCAGGCACATTTGAGAAAAAATTAATGCGTTTGCCAATGAGGCTTCTTCCAAAGCAATCGCCCCAAGGGCTGATAGGGTCTCTCAGAAAAGTTACGGTGAATTAACTAAAGGTGTGAAGGAAATGCATGTGTATTAAACTTCCATTACCCCACATCTCTACATAGAAGCACCTATTAAGCAGTAATGTGTTTTTAGATCACATAGTTCAATCTTCTTAGGCTGTGGACAGGATTTACATTTGTAGTAGTATATATACTCTTGCAGCACTACCAAAAGTTGTTCAAGCTGTCTGTAGTGCTACAGTGATAGTGAAACTGCCACAAAATAGTATGTCTTTCAAAGGGAAACATCTCAGTAGCACTATATATAATATTTCTTCAGTTACTAGGACCCCCAGTATCCTGTCCTTATCCTCTTTCTTTCCTCCCCCATTGAGACAGAAGAATGAAATCAGATTAGTGGGCAAGTATTTTGATAAGAAAGTCTTGACCCTGAAGAAAACCCAGGAAGATAGAGAATCAAGAGTGGGGGGTAGAAGGTTCATTTGCCATGGTAAAAAAGGAGATAGTTAAAAAAACTAAGTCTGAGAGAATGAGCACTGAGGATGAACCAAGATCAGGACTTCTTGGAGCAGTCAACATGTTAGAAGAAGGTGCAGGCTGCAGGATGGTGAGGAATGACAGAAGATGAACACCCAAGCACATACCCAAGATGGGAGGCATCAGCGCTGGGTCAGTAAATGCAATCCTAAGGAAGACTTATACATGATAAAGTATCAGTAAGATGGGTACCTAGAATGCTGATCAGAAGAAAGTACAACTTGCCATTTCTAGAGAACTTTTGAGGTAGTTTTAAGCAAACCTAGAAAACTGAATGAGCAGGATTGCAACTAAGAATGAGACATGGGTTCAAGATTTTGGTCCTGAGACTAAAGAGCAGAACATGTTTGGGAATTAGATGCAGCTCTAACTCCCACAAAATTCAAGAAAGTATCAATTGGTAGTGTCATAGTCATATTTTTTTTAGAGTAATAAGGTGATTGAGTCTCTCTCAGCAGGCAAGACCGTAGATATGGAGTACTATGCTAGTGTTTGTGAATAGCCATCAAAAACAAGAGTTGCAGACAGCTGAGTCTAGGACAATGCATTAACCCACACATGCCAAGTTGCAGAGACCACAGCACTGACTTTGAACTGATTCCTATTCCAGCTGATTTGCTAAGTTTGGCTCCTTCAGAATTATATCTGTTCCCCAAGGTGAAGAAAAACTTCCATTGGAAGGGCTTCAAATATGATGAAGTTATCACAACAGCTGAGGAGTTTCTGGACAATAATTTCTATAAGGCAGGCAAAGCCAAGATCCAGTACAGAAACAGCAAGTGCACTGACATTGAGGGACTACTAAAACAAACAGTTCATTCTATTCTTGTCAGACCAGACACTTTCAGAATACCCCTCATATATCTTTAGGGAAACATTTTGAAAAAATAAGTGCAATAGGAGAAAAAACAGAAACCCAAGCTTATTTACCCAAGGGCAATTAACAAGAGCAGACATCTCTAAAAATATGAGATACTCTATAAGAAATTCTTATATGTCCTCAAAAAAGAAACATCTGTGTAAATATCTTTGTCTGGATAGACAGATGAGCAGGCTACCTTAAACATTAAAAGGATCACTGACTAAAGTAGGGGGAGACCGGAGACACCTCAGGGGAAGGAAGTATTACAGCTGCTTGGAGTACAAAGGCTGTCTTGTTAAACAGGCTTGTCCAGAGAAATGGACAGAAGAGAGAAAGCGAGACAAGCTCAGGAGACAAAACATTCTTCATAAAATGTAATGATATGATCTACACTTGCCTAACTTGTGTAGAAACTAAGGATAGATTGTGATTCAGGCTGATTCTTTTTAAATAAACTGGATTTTTTTCTCTCCACTGGATTGTTTTCCCTCTCTATTCTAAATAATTCTATTGTATTGAATTAGTACATTTGAGTTTTGTTTTTGGAAAAAATCATTGCATGCAGTGTATCTTTGTGTGAATGACAACATTCTCACAAAATAACACCTAGTTACTGTTTGACTGTCCACAAGAAATGGCAATCACATGAGACTGTTTAATATTTACATTACAGTTGTTGCACTGATAGCAAGAGGTAGTATAAGATAGAAAATACTCCTTTTTATAAGTATATTTTGTTTCTGATCTATTTCTTTAAATAAGCTGGAAAGAACACTGCAATGATTTCTACAAAAATCATGTTTTATAGGCACATTTAAACTGGCATGCACATGGAAGGACGTGACAAGCTTCCTAATAGGAGCAATGGCTGGTTATATCTATCTTCCAAGCACTTCCTATGGGTTCGTTTAGGCAGCTCCCCACTCAGAATATGAGATTTATCAATCCATCTTAGGCACCTAATTTGTCTCATGACATGTATATGTAGTCCAACTGCCTACCTGTGGGGTGTGGATACCATTTCTAGTCAGCTAAGCCCTTAAAAATTAGAGTAGTACTCAATGTCATGATGACCAAGACCTTGTGTGGATCAGGCCCGAAATGTCCTAAGGGGTTCCTTCTGTGGAGGTGTGGTTTACCTCTACCCTTTTTATACACTGCAACTGCAACTAGAGGACACAACTCAAACCCCACTTTACCCTTTCTCCACCATCAATCTCCTAAGTAAACAATTTTTAAAATGTTTGAAAGAAAGTCTGGGGGAAAATAATGTTTACATGGAAAATTGACAAGGATTCAGAATGATATTTCATTCAAACTGACCACTGGCTTCTGATTTGATATTATCTCTCCTAGCTTCACTGATCTTTGTTTCTTCATCCAGCCTGTGTAAATCTGTTTTTAATTGCTGATCTGTATGAAATTCTGTAAAATAAAAACAAACAAGGAACAAGACAGTGCAGTCCATTCCAAGCCACATTAATGTGAATTCCAAAAGATAATTCCATGAAGGCATAAAAGAAGCTTTTTGTGTATTAATATGGAGATCCCACTGAAACACCTCTTTGAGTTTGATCAGAACCTCTTGCCTGCTATACAAGAGTACAAATGAAACAGGGTTCTAGAATTCCAGAACTTCCAGAGTTACAAGATACATTGTGCATGTTTTATGACAACACATGCTGCTGTTTGCTCTTTTTAATCTACCTAGAGAGTGTCAATCATGTATTCATGGAAGGTAGTATTCTGAGACTGTTATGAGAAAAAAACAAAGTTCACTTTTTGCTGATATATAACATTCTCTGTGAATCCTGAATTAATGAGGTAGTAATTGTACTGAAAAAACATGGTTTCTATAGTTTGAGGTAAGTAGTTTACAACTGATCAAAGATATCTCCATCAAGCTAGATACACACAAGACCCAGAATATTCTATTCAGGCCTCACCAACCCCCCCCAAACAAAACAAAACAAAACAAAACAAAACAAAACAAAACAAAACAAAACAAAACAACCAAAACTTTCTCTCTTCTACAAACGAGCTAATCTATGGTTAGATCTATAACACTTTTAGCATATGGCAAGTTTAGTAGGAGTCCTTTGTGCAACTCAGTGAAGCAAATGCAAGTCTTACCTGTATTTTTCTGTATACTGCAAAGTGGTTTTAAATAAGTCTCTGGATTCCTGGAAGAATGCTTATTCTTCACACTTTTGCCAGAAGCATCCCATCTATTTATTGCATTCCCAGTGAAAAAAGAAGAATATGAATGTCATCAGGGTAAAAATAGCAATAGATTTCACTAGCACAAGCTAGTTCCTGAAGATGTGTAATGGCACAAAATGATGACCCAACTGTGATATAGGTTAGTTATTAACTATAAAGTTATGGAAAAGTGGAGGATGATTCAGCAAGCAAGCCATTTTTAAAGGGCATAATGGATATTTCTAAATATATTATGTATTTCCAAATAGTTAGTGAAATATATTTTTCATAAGAGTTACTTTTAAACTAACAGAAGAGACTAAATCCATTTAGTCTCCCTCTCCTTCCTTGTCATCCCCACAGCAAAGGCAGCATATTTTCCATTCTGATCAGTCTCCTTTCATATCCTTCTACTTGATACTAGTCTTTCAGGAATCTTACAGTGTTTTTAAGATAATTAATCCAAAGGCAACCTGAACTTAAGTCTGGTTCATGAACAAGAAAAATAAGTTTAGTAAGTTACTTCATTACTTCACTTTTTTTCTTTGTAGTAATGTCAACAGCTTGTTCAGTAGATAACTCTTACATTCATAGATTCATAGATTGTTAAGGGCTGGAAGGGACCTCAGAGATCATTGGATCCAGCCACTCCACTCTAGGCAGGAAGACAACTAGGGTCAAATGACCCCAGCAAGGTGATGTCCAGTCTCCTACCCTGGAGGTTTTCAAGAGGAGACTGCACCACCTCTGGGGGAGTTTATTTCTCAGTCCAGACACCCTGACTGCGAAGGAGTTTTTCCTGGTATTAAGCCTGAAGCAGCCTTCCAGTTTATATCCATTGATCCTGGTCTTCCCAGGGGTGCCCTAGTGAACAGTTGTTCACCGAGCTCCTGATGCACTTCTCTGATACAGCAGCAAGCTGCTATTAAGTCCCCTCTCAACCAATGTTCTCTCTAAGGAGTAGTGGTCTGTGAGCGCGCCACTTTGGTCCCGCCTCTCCCTTTTGGTGCGGCGTGGTTCGACAGTAAGTGTCCCAAAGTAAGTGTCCAGGTGGGAGCGGGCAGGGTTCAACCACTAGATGAAGGTCCTCACTTCTCATGCAGGGCAGGCAGCAGCTCCTCCCTGAGGCAATGCAGGTGTGGGGACAGTGACAGTGATAGGGACAGGGATGGGGGCTGGTGCAGTCTCTGCTGGCTCTGGGGAACTGCTCTGTGGGCTCTGCCGGCTCCAGGGAACTGCTCCGCTTCTCCATATCGCCTCAGGGAGTGAGGAGGCATGTGGCATCAGGGCTGGGGAGTCGAGCAATTCCCCGGAGCCTGTGGTGCAGTTCCCCAGAGCCAGCAGAGCCTGCGCCAACCCCCAGCCCCCGTCTTGCCTCAGGGAGGAGCTGCTACCTGCCCTGCGTGAGGCTCTGCCGGCTCCGGGGAACTGCTCCACTCCCCAGCCCTGATGCCATGTGCCTCTTCGCTCTCTGAGGTGATGTGGACGAGTGGAGCAGTTCCTCAGAGCTGGTAGAGCCCACGGAGCAGTTCCCTGGAGCTGGCAGAGCCCGTGCCAGGCCCCAGCCCCAACCTCCGTCCCCACTGTGGGGAGGAGCTGCTGCCTGCCCTGCATGAGGAGTGAGGATCTTACTTTCGGTAAGTGTCCCACTCTGGCCCCAGTGCCTCTGCCCCACTCTGCACCCAGCTCCTCTCCCTGTGGGTGCGCGGCCTTAAAAAGTTTGTGTGTGGCAAGATTTTTACTTGTGTGCAGCCGTGCACATGCGTAACTTAGAGGGAACGCTGCTCTCAACCTTCTCTTCTTTAGGCTAAAGATGCCCAGGTCCCTCAGCCTTTCCTCTTATGGCTTGTCTTGCAAGTCCCTGATCATATGGGTGGCTCTTCTCTGGACCCTCTCAAGTTTTCCCATGTTCTTGCTGAAGCGCAGCGCCCAGAACTGGATGCAGTACTCCAACTTGTGGTCTCACCAGTGCTGAATACAGTGGGAGGATCACTTCCTTAGTTTTACATGAAATGCATCAGTTGATAAAGATGTTGGAAAGCACCGGTTGAAGCACGGATCCCTGAGGGACACCACTGGCCACTTCATGCCAGCACAACACAGATCCATCAGTGAGAACTCTCTGGATCCTACCCTATAGCCAGTCTCCCACCCACCGAACTGTTGAGCCCACAATCTTTCAATTTTCCCACCAGGATATCATGGGATACTAGATCAAAAGTCTTTTGGAAGTCTAGGTATAGAACAACCTTGTCTCCCATGTCCAGGTGGCGAGAGACCTGGTTGTAGAAGGAGATGAGATTGGTAAGACAAGACCTACCTGCGACAAAGCCATGCTGGCTGTCGTTTCAGAATCTCACCTTCCGCAAGTGTATTGCACATAGATTCTTTAATGAACTTTTCCAGGATTTTCCCTGGGATAGAGGTTAGGCTGATTGGCCTATAGTTACCTGGGTCCTCCCTCCTCCCCTTCTTGAAGATGGGTACATTACACTCCCCAGATCCTGTTTTGTTTATTATTATTACTTTATATTGTGGGAACCCAGGATACTATTTTTCTGGCCAGCTGTTGCTCCCTCAAGGCAATGGGATTGGGCAACCATACCAGCTACAGCTGGCTGATCTCTCTGGCCTGTGCCCATGCGGCTATCACTCTCTTCTGGTGCTACTGGTTTTCCTCTGCGCTCCAGACTAGTCTAGTCATTTCCCATCCCAGCATGATTTTCTGGTATATACCACTCCTTCCCCCATTCCCAAGATCTTCCTAGCTCCCAGCAAAAAGTATGGTAGTTAAATGATGACACGGGACAGATGCCATTCAGGATTCATTCCAGCAAATTTCCAGCCCAGCATTTCTTCCCAGTGACCTCCAACAGTGCTTCCATATTTATCCTTAATTATTTATATTTTATTATATACATCCTTCTTATAATAATTATGGATAATTACAAGAACGGGCCCTACCTAAAATATGAATATCTAGAGAGCTACAATAACTACAACTGAATAAAACTTACTTTTCAATGGATGATTTAGCTGCACATAATGAGATTTGTTTTGTTGAGCTATACATTTTGCTGGCAGATTCTGCTCCATATCCCATGCTGCCTTGGATTAAAAAAATATTTATGAAAATAGTTAATGTTTCCATTAACTGCAACATAACCATGCTCATTGATATTTTTCAGCTTATCTAAATTCAGTACTTTCTATATCCTACACCATGAGATAAAAGGTTGGGCCCTGAACTATAGCTTTACTCTAAGGTTCTCCCTTTCATTTAAATATAATCTCATACAGAGGCTGCATACAAATGTTTATTTCTACCAGAAGAAATTTATAAAGAATAGCAAGGGAGCTGGACTGTACAGGTTCACAGGCAAGCTCTCAGCCAGGGGGGGCTAGAGTGCTGCTCCCTGGGCCACCTCCACCATTAGGGAAGCCTGTTAAATTGACAGCCTGACCTCTCCCTTGCCTGGGAAGGGGGCAGGCTGTCAAGCAGCAGCAGCTGCCACAAACAGCTCTAGGAGGGTTCCAGCCCCAGGAGAATGCCTACCTGTCATACCAGTTTGCTGACTGGTAGGAGGGAGGCATTTTCGCATGGTGGGAACCCTCCTAGTTCTCCCCCTCAGGAGTATAGCCCTTGCTCCTTGCACTCCCCAAGACTGACCCGGAGGAGTGCGGAGAGGCTGGAGGGGAGCACTCTGCTGCCAAGGCAAGGCTCTGGGATCTTTTCCAGAGCAGTGCAGGGTAAGGCAGGTGGATTTTGCCATGGTGATGAGGCTCTCAAGCTTCGCCACTACAACACTGCCACTACCTTGCCCTACTCTGCTCCAGGTCAGCTGGGTGGCAAGAGGAAACTGGCGAGGCTGGGTTTTTTTATCACCCAAAAAATCCTTGCCTCTCACAAGTATTGATTACTAATTTTCCACAGTTTCAACTTCCTTAATGCTCTTAGACATTCACTATACTCTTTCAATAGTTCTCTGAGAATTACACTGACAGCTGATTTCAGCAACTGAATACACTGCTCAGACAGAAAGTTTATGCAACTTCCTGCATCAAATCACAATAAATGTAAGTTTGGAACACAGCAAAAATCATTTTCAGCATTAGTTTTTGCATATTGAATCTTCAAAACTCCAAATAACTTATTATGTAAGACCTCAAAGGTAGATGAATACCATCAATAGTCTCCACAAATAACAAAAACCATTATCAGCATGATCAAGTCACCCATATGACTGTTTGTAATTCCCAGCTAGATGGCCTCCAAGCTAATTATTTATCTTCATTTTTTTCAGGAAACAGGAACTTGAGTAAACATCACTCTCCCCAAGACCAAACACAAAGTGTTTGTCATGGGAGACTCCATCCTGAGGGGGATTGAGGGGGCAATCTGCCTCCCCGGCCCCTTAGCCTGGGAAGTTTGCTGCTTCCCGAGGGCCCGCATCCGTAACATGGCGGAGAAGATCCCTAATCTCCTCCAGCCCACAGACTGCTATCCCATGCTCCTCATCCATGTGG